AGTGGTGACAAGCTGAGGGGCCTTTTGCCTAGTGGGAGATTTGTGAACTAGTCTTGATCGAAGGATACTCAGCACCTAATCGAAGCTGGTATGCAGGAGTTCATTGTTGGTGAATCGAAACAAACTTATAGGGGATTCTTGCTCTGTGCACTGAAGGCACGCACAGAGGGAGAATTTGCCTAGTCGAAACAGGAATCAAGCTTACTCCAAAGAAATCAAATGCCCAATCAAAGTAGGAATTAAGCTTTCATGCGAGTAGCCATTGCATTGTGAATCAAGCCAGCATGTAAAGCCAATGGTGCAATCGAAGGATGTATGCAGGAGGCCATTGCCTTGTGCTTATTGGCATGAAGGAAGTTCCTGCCTTGTGAATCAAAGGCAAGCCTGAAGCAACTAATGCACAATCAAGAGCCTTGTGATTTGAACTTGATTGAAGGGGGGTCAGCACCCAATCGAAGCCTGTGAATTAGGCTTGCATCAAAGGAAGTTCAGCTTCCAATCGAAGCTTGCTCAGATGCCAATCGAAGCACCTTGTTCCGATGTCAATCGAAGGACATTGCTGAATTGCCAATTGAAAGACACTGCTAACATTAAAAAATTTCATTTTCTTTAGGCAAGTGCTTGTAACCACCCATATAAGATAAAAACCCTTGGGAAACATGAGACGTAAATTTTTGGGGTACAACAACAACATTGAGATCTTTGCCTGGTCATACGAAGACATGTCGGGGCTGGACACTGATATTGTGGTTCCATAGTGGTTTCAGGTCGAAGGGTGGTATACACCATTATCACCATGAGACTAACTTATGACACCTTGCATAATATTCTATGTATTATTCTCATAGCGGGTCAATCCAGTATAAATGTTACTCCTAATATTCATACCTATGTCAAGACTTGATAACTCCTTATCCATGATCCATGAGGTGTGATCATCATTCTATCTTCATAATAACCACAATGCTTTAATTATATCCCACTTCACAATAAAGCTCGACTACAGATACTTTAAGAATAGTGTTCTTATGTTTAATGGGATCTCATGATTAAGTCACACTTAACAATTCATTAAACAAACGAACTATTCTAGGGACTTTATTATTTTGGAAAAGCAAACATAATAAAGAAATGTCTTTTATTATTAATAAATAATTCGATACAAGTACCCAAAGTATTAGCCTCTAGGGCTTACACCAACAGATTTCTCCTTAGAAAATGACTTAATCCAATAATCTAGAAAGATTACAACAACGTATAAGTGTTTAAAAAAAGACCTTAACCCTCTTAAGTATTTCTGACTACAACTTAGTCACTTGAGGAAACAAATCTAGAAAGATTTATAATTAAAAAGTGTTTACAAGGGTGATTCTAAAAAACTGATTTAACACTACAATAAAAAACAAATGTTTACACACAAATATGAGCAACAAATCTTGTGTATACAACAATGATAAATAACAAAATAATGAGAAAAAACTCTTGTGTTTTGGATAATAGAAGTTAACACAAATTCTGAGCAACAACTCTTTGTGTTTCGATTTCTTTTGAATAATTTCTCTCTTTGTTTTCTTTGCATAGTTTTTCTTTGGTACTTCAATTATTTGAAATAGAATAGTTTAATTTGTTGATTTCCAATGAAGTAGTCATCCCTTTATATAGGCTAAGAAAAGATATTATTGGATAGTACAAAACTTCACTTTCATCTTCCAGCTACTACAACAGTAGCGTGTAAACATGGAAGACAAGAGCAAACTAAATCTTCAATCGTATAGATTTTCCTTCACCATAGTAGAGTAGGTCTTGTACTGTTGTATTATAATCTTCTTGTGCAAGTTTATGATTTTTTCTTCTTATGAGATACTTTTGATCTGAAGTTGAGAAGAGTATGTAGAAGAGATCATATTTGTTCTTAATCTTACGATGGAGTATTTATGATGATAATATATCCAGAAGATGTTACATTGTAATATTCACAAAGGGATCAAAGTCTTTAGAATCAAAACATGGTCTTTAGACTTGTAGCAACAACTTATCTGACAAATAGTTTTTTGACATTTGAGCTGAAAACAAAAGCTTATCTGAGAAGCACCTTATCTTGATATCTAATCTTTCAAGCAAAAGTTTATATGATCGTTGATATAAAAGCTTGATATCTGATATTCATTATAGATACTTTTCTAGACACACTTGTGACTTCTAAAGCAATAGCTTATCTAGAGAAGTACATGTGAATCCTTTTTGTGGCGAACATTCTACATTCATTAGAATTATTGATGTTACTTCAGAACTGGATGCAATAGTATTTTTGAGGCGTGTTAAACACAATCTTGATGATTCTTCATACAACAATCCTGAATCAATTAGAATGTTTTATCTGCACACTTAATGAACTATTAGAGTACAAATTTGTTACATATAAAATATATGTATTGTCATCATTAAAACTCAGAGATTATATACAGAACCAAATCTTGTTCTAACATCTTGGAGTTCCAATCTTTAAGGTAAAACCAAAAGCGGTTCATTTACATCCTATTGCTGACAAAGTCATAAATATGCTAGCCTATTAGAAAGGTTCTTTATTATTGTTTTCCGATCGTGTGGAGCTTGTGAAGTCCCTCATTCAAGGTATGCTAATTCATACCATGGTTATTTATTCGTGGTCGATTTCTCTTATATGTGTTGTGGACCGTGCAATGTAGCAGTTTATTTGGAGTGGGGAAAATACTAGGAATAAAATCATAAAAGTGGCTTAGAAGAATATGTGTTATCCTTTGGAGGAGGGCGATATTGGGATTTTTCTCTCATCAGTTTAAATGACGCTTATAATCTTAAGCTTTCTTGGGATTTACATAACTCTTCTTAACCTTGGGCAGATTTTCTTAGGCAAAAAGTCTTCAAAAATAACAAAACCATTAAGAACTATATCTTCTCTTCCATTGAGTCCAACATTAAGTCAGAGATGCTGACGATGGATTATAACACTTCTTGGAAACTTGGTAGTTGTACTTCTATCAGTCTTTGGTTTGATACCTGGTGTGGTACTCCGCTTAACTTTGATTTTGAGGATGCATCTAATATTATGGACGGCTCTTGTACATATGGCTTATGTATACGGCTACAATACATAGTTCTTTGGGTATCACACCTTATCATAATACCAGACGCTACTAGAAGGCCGCTTAGGTCATCTAATTCGGAGGTACTTAAGGCTATGAATGACCACAACGAGGACGTAGTGGTAGTTGGCGTATTGTGAATATGGGGAGATCGGACATAAAGATTAGACTTTTTGAGGATGGTAGTCATCAGTTAAACCTCGAGGTATGAAATACTATACAGTACAAGCGGAGGAGAAGTCGGAGGGTTAGACATACCCAATGTTTATGTTTGGTTGTATTTTTTTTTGTCATCTGGAAACAAGTTTTGTATGATTAATACATTTTGATAATTGTATGAATGTTTTCATAATTATGTAGTATATTTGAATTAATTAATGTATGTGTTTTCCTACTAATTTATGGTCTAAATTGACCTAAAATATGTTGGCCTAAAAAAATATCAAATTTATGACAAGGTTGACGTTTAGAAAACATCATAGGGTGTTACCGAGATGCATATTCAAATACACCCAAATAATATTCAGAGATGAATTTATGAATTTATTTTGGGCAAAAATGAGATGTGGGGCTGAATTACGAAGGACTTGTGTGGTTTACGTGCGTTCAAAGATGCATCTCCAGACAAATTAAGGGTATTTTTAGATTTTCAGAGTTTTGTGTCACACCCTATAGATAAGGCTTGCAATGAACCGAATCAACTCAAAAATAGTTTGAGATTTGATTCGGTAATTAATTCGTTGGACTTGGCTCATGAACCAAATGAGTCGAACTTGAGCTCAAAATTAAGTTCGTAAAATAAATGACTTGAACTTGAGCTATGTATAGTTCGATTCGTTTGGTTTATGAGTTGGTTCGATATATAAGTTTCATGAAGACATAAATACTTAGTCTTCATATTTATTTATATCATTTTAAAGATGATAAAACCATTTACAATTCTATTGATTATAAAAAAATCCAAATTCAACATAGTAAAATATATATTACAAACTTAAGTTATAATATTTTATTATTTGTTCATACTATCTACTTTTGATAATAATATCTTGAACTACAAATATTATTTTGAAATGAAACTTATATTATATGAAAACTGAAAGTATTGTCTATAATTCTTATGAATACAATAAGGGTAAATAAAATTGTTTTAATTATCATATTATTCATCAAAGGTAATTATTTATATAAATTTTAACTCTTAAAATTATTTTAATTCTCTTTAACTTTACTATTAAAGTCTCACATTGAAAAATCCATTTCCTTACATTCTCTTATTCTCCTATATATAAAGCTCATAACTCACTTGAGTTATATCCAAGAATTTTAAGACACTTTCTCTTTAAAAAAAAAAATTCAACGGGCACAGTTTAAAATTAAATGTCTCTTAGTAAAAAAAATTAAAAAATTAAATTAATTTTTTTGTCCATTTTTGAAGTATTTAGTCGGATCGAGTTTGAGTTATCAAACTGAACCGAATTATTCGTGAAATTAAACGAGCCGAGTTCGATTCTTATTGAGCTAAGCTGAAATAAAATTTGACTAAGCTCCACTCATTTTGAATCTTTCCTATAGATGAAAAGAGTATTTTTCAAATAAGATACGCTTCATGTTGTCAATTACTACCAAATAGTCTAAAGATACTTAAAATATGACTTAAGTTGAATGAGCTTAAACAAGTGTTTATCAACAGAATAGTGGAAATGGCAAACATGAGATATATAATCTTAAACTTTGCCTTAATGGAAAGAAGAAAAAACACACTGTAAAACAGTTAGTTGCAAGCATGCAACTCTCCAAACAGAAGAAACATGAATCTCAATAACAACATCAAAATAAGAGAGAATCCAAATATGAAAAATATCTTCTTCATCATGTCTATGTTGAAGAAGATGTAGTAGCAAGCCTTCCACGTCCAATACCACCGCTATGCTGATGATCACACTCTCTTCTTTTCATCAATCTCGAACTCCAACAATCCGGCGAATCGTCAGAAGAACAATTGTTCCAGTGTTGTTGTTGCTGACCACTATTCAAACTGAAGCTGTTACTTCCGGAAGACTCTTGATCCTCGCAAAGTGAAAATGAACCACCTCTCTTAACAGTAACATACTTATGCAAACTTGGTTCCATTACATCATCACTCACGACAACTTCGGATTCTTCTACGAATGATGATTCAGGAACAGCATTGGACTTGTTTCTAGAGAAAGTTGAACTTGTTGTGGAGTTGAGATCCGCGACAGCTTCAAGGATAGAACAGGCTTTGTTGAGACAAGCTGGAAGAGAAACAGAAGGCTGTGTTGTTGTGGTCTTTTGATGGAAGTTATGAATGTCTTCTAGGAGTAATGAAGTGTAGGATGCTGGTGGTGGATTGGTTAGAGTTTCGGGATTCATGTTGTCTAAGTCTCTTGATCTTCTAGATGATCTGCTTCTTGTTATTCTGGTTGGCATCACCACATTCTTCACAATAGCATTATCAGACATTACTTTGATTTCATCCTCTTGTTGGTCCTTTGTGACACTAATCACACCCTTTTCTAATGTACCTCTGCTATTTGTCCGGTTTCTTGTGTTGTCCCTTGTTTCAGCCTTAGGCTTCTGCAGTGGAAATAGGAGAATATCACATCTTACAAATCATGGATGCAACCACAATAACCGCAACCGCTTTATCGATTACAAATCACAATCCATAGCTTATATAAGCAAAAAGTTCTAACTTTATTATAGGTTGATCCAATCATTTTATCCCTATAGACTCATTGTATAACAAACAGAAAAACAAGTGCATAAAAGTGATTTTACCTGAATAGTCTCAGCTTCAATCTCCTTTTTGTGTTTGTTCTGAACTTTGTTTCCAGCATTATTACCATTTGATTGAGGATAAGCAAGTGAATTAGGATCAACCTCACTGAGAGGGTTTCTTCTAAAAGGAGAAACTTCAGTCTTTCTCGCAGAGTTACTACGGCTAAGAGAAGGTTGCTGCTGATTCTGATTAACTCCATTTCCATTCACTCTAGCAGGTGACATAGAACGTGGTGATGCAATATTTCTCTTCACAGATTCTCCACCACCACTGTTACTTTTATCCATCACCAATGATGAAACAGTAGCAGGAACAGTCACCATTTTCCCTGGCCTAGAACCAGAACCAGAACCAGCATTGTTGCTTTCATTAGCAGTATTTGCATCAGAAGATCTTCTTCCAGGAGATCTACTCACTCTCCTTTCTCTACTACTCGAACGTTGTTCTCTTTCTCTTTCTCTTTCTCTACTTGGTGTTCTTCTTCTTCCACCTTTAGGCGAACTGCGGTGGCGTTGACGGTTGTTGTGTCGTGCACCACCGTCATTTTCCTCGCTGTTATCACTTGGATTTGTTCTTCTCTGTTCATCTTCAGCTGAAATTGTATCATTGTTTTCAGAATGATCAAAATCGAAACTTCTCTTTGACCCAGAATATTTTCTGGTTGAAGAAGAAGCAGCTTTTCCTGAAGAGCTTCTGGAAAGTCTTCCACATTGGATTAAAATTGCATCTACTTCTTCTTTTGTGCAGCTTGAAGTTCTCACACCAACAACAACAGCACCAACCTTGTTATTGCTACTACTATTGTTGTTGTTGTTGTTGTTCAATGATTCTGTTTCACTAGATGAAACCAACCCATCATTGATTTTGGTTGGGTTTTGCTCTCTTTCATCGTGGCTTTTTCTGTGTTTGATGATAAAAATCTCCTTTTTAGGTTGAGATTCTTCTTCGTGTTGTTTAAGAATTTCTGGGTCTGGTTGTTTGTCTTGAACTATGTTGTTGTTTCTGTTCTCTTGTTTCGAAAGGGTTTCTATGACATTGTTATGAGAATTTTGTTGATGAATTGGGGGTGTGGAAAGTGATTTGGTGGAACGAGGGGGTGAGGAAGTAGAAGTTTTGTTCTTTTTGCTCAAACATGCACCCATGGTTTGTGTTTGTGGAAATGGTGAAAGTGGAGTAGAGAGAAATGAGGGTTAAGGAAATTTGAATTTCATTTGAATTTGAATTTGAATACAATAAGGATGGTAAGTTTCAAATTTAAGAGTGTTAAGAAATTCAATTTTTGAGTTTGAGATCCGTTGGAGGTTTAAGGTCATGTGTGTGTCTGACCAAATTGACCCCACTATGTGACTACCTACTACATTTTATTCTATAAAGTTTTTTAATACTATTTTGAAATAGTACTATAGTAGTATAATATTGGTATTATTAGTGTTATTGTGTTGTATGTGGAAAACAATTTGGATCTTAATTTAACGTTTTGTGTTTGTCGTTTTTGTTGTGGGTGGATTTGAAATTGTGTAACGGTTTAATTGGATTGATTGGGTCAATAAAAAGTGAGTTGAAAAGTTATGAGCATTTTTTGTGGTTTTAGAAAAGGTGAGCAACGGCTATATGCGTTTAGAAGTTTGGGTTTTTTTGTTGGGTTTTTCAGAGAATTTGGTTGTGCTGAACAAGAATATTTTGCACTTACTCGTATGGAAAGAATTTAGTAATGTGTTAGATGGATTTTTGGTTAGGGATTACCCGTATGTCCTTTTGAAAGGTTAGATTTTGAGTTTTATATATATTTGAATTAGGCGAGCTACTATCCTTTAAAATGAATTTGAATCTTGAAAGATAAAAATTATTTGTGATTTGATTTGGTTTTCAATAATAATTTTAAAAAAAATTATTTGATCCGGTTCAATTTCGATTTAATTTGAATCGATTAGCATAAAAAGAATAAGAATAAGAATAAGAATAAGAAGAAGAAGAGAATGAGTCAATTCCAACAGTTTTATTTGAAAGAACGATCTCAGTGGACGAACGATCCTCAAAAGATTTGTCTTCTGATAATGAAAAAACTTCATCAAGAAGAATATTTGCTTCAATCAATGAAGAAGTTTCATCCAGCTGAATCCTTGAAATAAAAAATGAGAAAGAAGTTTTAACAAGCAAGATACTTAAAGACTCAACATCAAGAAGAATTCTTGAAGAATCAACTTTTTGAAGTATCTTTAAAGATCCTTCACACCTAGTATCTGATGAAGAAGATGAGTGAGTAAATTAAAATTCAAGAGGATTATATGAAGACTCTCGCAAAAAGGGCTCCAACATCCCAAACAATACTTCTGAAGATTCGTATGAGGAATCTCCTAAGGAATCATTAAAGACGCCAAAAGAGGACAAACATGTTTGCTTGAAAGTCTCAGACAAAGAAGATGGTTGTAAGGTAACAATTTTATCGTACATGTAGTTGTTTAAATTAAACGCTAAGTTAATCAAGGAACGTGATAAGATAGAAAAGAGCAGCGTAGAGCTTAAAGAATATATTGAGTTTCTAGAGAATAAAAAGGAAATGTTATGCATGAAATCACTAATATTAGAAACCAAAAAAATAAATGTGAAACATGTGTTTCAATGAAAAAGAAAGTGAAAGATTTGCATGAAACCTTAAGTAAATTTACTAAGGGGGGAGAAAACCAATATTTGATTCTATCAATTCAAAGACATTCCTTAAATAAAAATGGATTAGGGTTTTATCAAATAGATCACTAAATAAATGATTCAATAATAGGAAAAACTTGAATCGCCATATCTATATATGCTCTTTTATGTAATAAGCTTAGTCACTTAGAGCATTTTTCTATGATAAACTAAGAAGATCTAAAGGGAATAACTCTAGACCTTTTATTTCCACTAATGAACTAGGTGAAAATCTAATATGTTTTGCAGGATTGTTTTGTAGCTTTAATAAAGCTTTAACGCAAACTAAATAAAGATTCGCAAAAGCAGTGTGTATACCTTGAGTATACAAGAGAATGTCTTTCCTGGTGGAATTTGGTGATCTTGATGCTTGTGATCAAAGTAAGCTAATTGATGGTGTGTTTCAACGGATGTGATCAGAATGTTGGCTTTGGTGGTAATAATCAACGAATGTGATGATCGTGATGATCATGCAACCTCTTAGTAGGTTGAGGTGATAAATCTGTAATGGATTTATAAATCTTGGGTTTGAACCAACTCGCATATCAAATGATTTGCTTGAAGGATTTACAACGATGATTTATCCTTTCCTAAAAAGGGGGATTTTCTCCTTGAAGTTTAAGGTGGTACACTTTATAGAGGTTGAAAAAATGGAAAACTATGATTAACCCTCTAAATAATTGGTCTATTAATTGCTTAAAAAGTTAAAATTATTTTTACTAATCTTTTGGTTGAGTTGTTAATTGATGTTAAAAAAAAAGGTGCAATCTGAAAGAATGAGGGGTGCCAAAAGCAATATGCCAAAGACAAGTTTCAATTCAAGACCCAAAAGACCAAGAAAGTTGTAACAAGGCAGATATCAATTGGTCTAATCGACTAAATGGTGTATCCATTTTAAAATTCAATGAAGATTATATTGTACCTTTTCCCTAAATCAAATCAAATAAAAGCATTGACGAGGAACGCGCGAAATCTTCAAATATGATAGCAAATAATTGAGTATTCCTCTAAAATAATTGATTATCACACATGTTTTAGAAATACTTGCTTCCAATCTTTTATGGTTCGGATCATCATGCATTCTATGAAGGTTTTGTATGCTCAAATGATTAGAAGTGTCACTATAAATAGGTACACATATTCCCTCCTTTTTTTCATCCTCTCTTCACTTCTTCTTATGTTTTCTCTTTTCTTGTTTTTGTCCCTATTTGTGGGTGTGCTACTTTAGTACACAAAAATCATCATCATGCACCCAAGAGGGTGATAACCTCCACACTTGCGTACCTCTTTGATTATTTTTCATCTCAAGAACACGAAAAGAGATTCTTTCAAGAGTTTGTAAATAGGGTAATCAAGTTTGTTCATTCCTTAGATGTAAGCATGTTTCAAGAGTGTGAATTCTTCAAGAATTTAGAAGAATCAAACTTGAAAAGTTTTTTCTAGAATTATCCAAGAAATGTGTATCCATCATTGGTAAATATGTTCTACTTAAATCTCTACTAGATAAATGAGATTAGTTCTTCTGAAGTTAAAAAACATAAGATATTTCTACCATTAGAAAAGTTTGTTGAAGCTCTGGATATATCCTACGCCGGGCCTCGCTTCAATATAGATGAGCTAGTGGAAGGTGACAACTACATTTATGAGAGTGTTGCATCCTCATTTGGCTAGATCCAAATTCTTGAATTTCTTCTCCATTCACAATAGGCCTTGTGCGCCCAAATATTCATCTCATTCATTATATGACAAACCATATTCTTTTTCAAAATAAGAGTAACTTTAGTCATCTAACCATATCTGATGTTGTTGTAGTATGGTTACTTGATAATAAAGTTGTGACGAATTGGTAATGTTCAATGATCCAACACATGTGTAGGAGCAAAAAGAAAGGCTGGTGTCTTCCATATGGTAATTTGATAATGAAAATCTGCAAACGTGATGGGTTCAACCTTGAAAGAGGGGAAGTGGTACAAGATGTAACAATAATATGAGAGGCACCATTAGGGCAAATGAGCTTCTAAATTATCAATTGGGTGATCTTTTAAAAGCCTTCAAAAGGAAAGAAAATTTATGCATAACAACATGCATCATTATCATTTCCTCAGCAAGAAGCTTTTATTTCATTTGTAAAGATTAGCTGGTAAAACCTCCAAAAAGGTTCTTGAGTTCAGCCTGGTATAAAATTTATGGCGGTTCGATATGAGACCGTGTAAAATCTCATATTGGTTGGAGAACATCTCATGTAAAGTCTCATCTTGGTTCGAGATTATCCCCTGTGAAAATTTCATCTTGGTTGGAGATCATCCCGTGTAAAATCTCATCTTGATTCAAGATTAGCTTGTGTAAAATCTCCAACAAGGCTAGTGAGCTCAGCCCGATGTAAAATCTCTCATTTGGTTTGGTGGTTCGTCTGTGTAAAACTCCATTTTAATTCATAGGTCAACCCTTTCAAAATCTCTAACTGGTTCGGAGATAGCCAGTCAAAACTCCAAGTTTAATTGTAATAAGATTAGTTGGAAAATCTATAAAAAGCTCGCATAGGTTTATAGATTACTTTATCATCAAGAGATAAAGTTGAAATAAATGGACCATTGATTAAAACATCCCACATTTCAAAATCATTTTCTTTTATAAAACTTCTAAATCTTGATTTCCACAATTAAAACCTTACAACACCAAACGGTGGAGGAGTATTAGTGAAAAGACCTTTATTAGAAGCATAAATTTTGGAAGTCATCATTTCATCTTTAAATGATTAGTCCTTAAACAAGAGTTAGGCTTTGATACCACTTATTGGACAAGTGACTCCAAACACAACAGGGGGAAAATTGTGTGGGATTTACGATCATTTGAAAGTGTGTGTGTGTGATTTTCCTTAGTAACTAAAGAGCTAATCTTATACCTATACAGACACATATCACTTGAAATGGTCAAGAAGAGATTTCATATTTCCTTTCTTTCACAACTATGAAGATTCAAGTTGCCTTGCTTTATTAATCATTTATTCAATATTTCATCTAGGACTTTACTTCTTCTATTGATGATGCTCGATTAGGCTTCACGATAGATAACATCATTAAATAAATTACTTGAGTGAGATCATCAGTGACTTCGCCGAACTCCACTTGACGTTAGTTGTTATCCTTCAGAGATAGGATTCAACATCTTGATCTCCAAGAATCATAACTTGATCGTCACATTAGATGAAGACTTTACACTACAGTCTTGTCATCATCAAAACAAAATAGGTCAACATATTGTTGCATTCATTATACCTACAAGTACATAGCTCCATATAATCTACTCAAATAATATCCATCTAGGTGTTGATAGTGATTATGTGCTTTTTAGAGATCTCTTTTATCGTCGAACGGCGGAAGAAATGATGATTTGAAGTTTTTGGGAACTTAAGCATCCCAAATCTCTAATGTCATGCCCCATAGTGAATGCCAAATGT